TCTGGGGCATTTACAGACATACCACCCAACTTTTATGTATTTACATATTTAACGCTTAAAATTTTCTTTTTTACAATCAACTTCCAATTTGCTGAAATTATAAGGTTGACTACAAGAAAAAATTAAAAAAAAAAATTGAATGTAACTATATAAATCACATTATATGCAGAAAAAAAAACAATAAAGAAAAATAACAAATTTTATAAAATATATTTAATTAAATATTATATAAATATTCTAAACAAATTAATAAAAATTTCTTTAATTTAGAAATTTAGAAATCTCTTTAAATAAATAAAATAAAAAAATGAAAATAATTAAAAAAGGGAGGCAGGCCCAACATGGTTAGGAACTGCGACCATGAAATTAATTTTTAAGCTAATTATTTAATTGATAAAAATTATAAAAACATATCTGTTAAGAAAATGTACAATGATGTTCGCCTCCATTTAAAAATATAATTAAAAAAAAAAAAATAGAAGAGTCTCGGAAAGTCATGAGCTGAGAGCTTTCTCTCCAATTGGATGTCCAGCAATCAACCTCTGTCCTATATTTGTCTATTGGCAACTTGGCCAGAATTTTCTTCATTATATTAAATGAAGATTTATATACATCTCACTCAATTTTTATGTATTTACATATCTAGCACCTAAATATCAATTTTTAGCCTCATGCCATTGAAGAAAATGTCCATTTCACATTTTAAAATTTAAAATTATGATAATTTTATGTGATATGAAAGATGGTATAAATGCAAAAGTTAAAAGTTTGGTGTTTGATATGTAAAGAGGTAAGAATTGGGTGGTATGTATGTAAATGCCCGTTTTTACTTTGGTTTTTAAAATTTAAAGAAATAAGGTTTTGAAAGATTGAAATGTAAATTTTAAATAATTGATAGACCAAAAAGCCAAAGCCTTTTTATTTTTATCACAACAATGCCTGCTTGTCGCCTTGTTCCTGATGTATAAAGCCATGGCGAGAGTCACCTTCCGCTGATCATTGAAGTCCGAACCAAGCTTGCTTCTTTGCCATGGCTGCTGTGAGAGTACTTCACGAAATTCAAATATCTCCATCTCCATTACTTCCAACCCAACCTCCTCAGCCCCTCTCCTACCTCGACTCAATCTGGCTCCGAAGCTCCCTGCGAGTGGAAAGGCTTTTCTTCTACGACTATCCTCACCCCATCTCCCATTTCAGGCACCATGAACTCCCCAACCTCACCAAATCCCTCTCCCTCGCCCTCCGCCACTTCTACCTTCTTGCCGGATCCATCCGCCCCTCCCCTGTTTCCGATGACCAGTTCGAGATCGCCTACACGGAAGGCGATTCCGTCCCCGTCACCGTCGCCGAATTCATCGGCGACGGCGACGACGACTTCCGCAGCATCTCCGGCCACCAACCACGAGACATCAAAACCCTTCGTGTTCTGGTACCCAAACAAGAGAAGTCATCGTCAGGCGGAGAGTCTACACTCCTCTCCATCCAAATCACTCTTTTCCGGAACAAAGGCATATGTGTTTGCTTCGCAACATACCACGCTGCTTGCGATGGATCTGCATCGATGCAATTCATCCGATCATGGGCCGCGGCGCACCAATCACCTGAATCCGTCCTGGAGAACATCTCCCCTCCGTTCCTCGACCGGTCCGTTATCGTCGATACCCACCGGATAGACCAGAAATTAATCGACCTGGCGAATCGGTTCAAGGAAATGCTCAAAGAGAACTATTTGAAGGAGAAAGAAAGCTTGCCAGCATCCGAACCTGACTTGGTCTCTGCTTCTTTTACTCTCTCTAAAGATCAGATTGCGCGGCTGAAAGAGAGGGTGCGATCGAAGGGAGTGGAGAAAGGGAAGCCGACACTTCACATCTCGGCGTTTGTCGTTACCTGTGCTCATGTATGGAGATGCCTCGAGAAAGCTCGGGAAAATGAAAAAGCTATCAAGCATTATTTCTCGTCCGCTGTAGATTGGAGGTCGAGGATGAAACCGGCGCCACTCCCTAGCAATTACTTTGGGAACTGCGTGGGGGCGTGTGTGGCGGAGTTGGAGGCCGGAGAGCTGGTGGGGAAGGAAGGGTTGGAGTTGGCGGCGATGGAGATAGGGAAGTGCATAGATGGGTTGCAGGGGAGGGATATTGGTGAGGTATTAGGGGAGGCGATTGATTTGCTTATGAGTCTTGCGGGGAGCAGCAGGCCGCTGTCGGTTGCTGGATCGCCGAAGCTGGGGGTTTACGAGACTGATTTTGGGTGGGGGAAACCGGTGAAGGTGGAGATAACGTCCATTCATGAGACGGGAGCCATATCGCTGGCTGAGAGCAGGGGGGAGGAGGGAGGATTGGAGATTGGTTTGGTGCTGCCGGAGGAGGAGATGAAGAAGTTTGGGAACTGCTTTTCCAGTGATTTGTTGCATGTTTGACTTGGGTTAGACGCTCCGCAGCTCTTTGTTTGTTAGTTTGTTTTTATTATTATTATCATTATTATTACTATTCTTATTATGATTTGTTGGAAGGAATGAATAATTTCTCTGTTTTTTTTTTACTTTTATTTTTTATTTGGCAAAATAGTCATTTTGGTGATGAATTTAATGCGTGAATAAAAAAAAATTATGAAAAAATGACCGTTTTTTTTAATTTCAAGGGTCATTTACATACATGACATAATTGTTATATATTTACAAATCTAACGTATATATTTTAAGATTTAGATGTAAAATAACCAAAATTTTAACATCACATCAATAAGATTGGTGCATGTAATATGATTCATGACGATGATAGAGTAAATATATATCGTCTTAATATTGTATAAAAATCTAACTCTGCTCAGATATTAAAAGAAAGAAGATGAGACATCAAAAATTATTTATGTATAAAACTTTTAAAAGAAAAAAAAAATAACGAAGCCTAGTCTAGTCAGAATGATTTGTTATACGTTAGAGTCACATAATTGCTTGAAATGCAATGTTTGTAGGCTGATAGGAATCGTTGCGCAGCAGTCAATAGCGAATGTGATTAGGAGTAGTTACTGGGGGCACGTTATACCGTCTTCGAGGAATGTTGATGCACCGTGCTCAAGGTGACACACTGTTCCGTAGGATGTTTCGTTTATTCTCGCATTGGTGGTTACTTTGTATAGTGTTTTGTAGTAACATGCTAGTTGGATTTTTCATGGCGCTTTGCTTCAGTGAGCAAGCAACTGTAGTCGGTGTTCAAAGGCTGTCAGTGAGTTTATACAAATAAGGAATAAACTCAGATCACTCCATCGAATAGTTTCAAGAGATTCCTCTAATCATACGATATTTTGTAGACATTTAAGTATCTTAATGATGTTAGAATTGAGTGATACAGAGTTCGTTGGAGACTAAGCTTGTCAAATTTGAAATTTGTTTGATCGTAAAATTGGGCACCACGAGCTTTCAAAAATGTTGTGAAAAACGACGGCAAAAAAGTGAAAAATCGGATTGAGAAAATTCGCAAAACAGAAACACACAGATTTACGTGGTTTGACAAATTGCCTACGTCCACTGAATTGCAAAGAATTTTATTACTTAAAGAATTACACTCGTCGATCGTCTCGATATTACAATAAATAAAACTCTCTCCTTCTCTCCTTCTCTCCTTCTCTCTCTCCTTCTCTCTGCCGGAGAACCACAAGAGAAAATATCAAAAAATTGAAGAGAGAAGCCTTACGTTTGGTCACGGAAACAACACAAAAGAAAAAGCTTTGCAATTATTAGCCAAAGAGGAGTCGTCCTTGGAATAGTAGGTGACAATTCATCTTCTTTCCAGCCGGCCAGCATTTAAATAAAAACTCTTATATGCCCATTAAAGGCAAGGCCCAACTTTGGAAATATAAAGGAGAGGCTGGAGAATAAATCCTAGATTTATGCGAGGCGGGAGAATAATTCTTAAAGGAAGGAATAATGAACTGATTAATTCAAATAACTTCTCAAAGAAAAACTGCCTAAATGAGCGGTGGGCTAGGCTCCACATTACTTAACAATTCTCTCACTTAAAGATTCGAACAATGATTGCACCACCCATTGGTTGCATCATCATTTTCCTCAAACGTAATATCCTCCACCTCTGCAACTCAAACCCCTGTCTTCAAGCTAGGAGAACAACTGAAGTTGCACACAACTTCAATTTCTCAAGAGTAACAACCTTATTTGACAAATTAGCGTCAACACAACATTGCGCTTCCAAGCTTTTTCCTGGGTTACTCATATATCTGCTTCCAACTCTCACTACATGCACAATATCCTGCCTGTGCTGAGAGTTTTTTTCAACAAGTCCAACCTTGTACATTTTACTGTCATCAAACGTAATATTCACTCGGTACACTCACTTGTTGTGTAATGTCTTCTTCCTTTGTGGAAGTTATGCCAGCTCCCACTTGCTTAAATTTTCATCTTGCAGGATTTCTTCATAGCTCTGTGGTTCTCCATCATCTGTCTGTACAAGATCTGGTTTTTCTGCTTTTGGCGCTCTACCACTTTTCAGGAAATTGACTTTCTTCTGTTTCACCATAATGCACATATGGCTCATGTGTCAACTCCTAAGTAAACTTGTAGTCATATATAGTGTGTCAGTTTTCTTACCCCAAACCAGTACTAATGCTCCTTGAGTAACCTTCCCGGTATTATCTACTTACCCCAAACCAGTACTAATGCTCCTTGAGTAACATTCCCGGTATTATCTGAGAACACTACTGAATGACCACCCTCATTAAGCTGCCCAACAAAAATCAGGTTTTTCTTCAACTCAGGAACGTGTCTGACCTTTTGCAAAGTTCATTTGCTCTTATTAAGAAGTGTAATATCAACGTCTCTCACCCCCACCACGTGTAGAACTTTTCCATTAGTCATATATACCTCTCAAAGTTACCTGCAACATAGTTCCACATAAACTCCCGGTGGGAAGATGTGTGGAAGGAAGCCCCTGAATCCAGTACAAACTCATCAACAGAACTATGAACTGTCAGAAATAGCGCATGTTGTATCTCTTCAGTTACCACATTTGCGTCTCCATTCGCCTTCTTCTTAAGATTCCTGCAGTTCTTTTTTTGTGGCCAACCTTGACACAATTCCAGCAAGTTGTCTGCTGACCAGACTTTAATTTTGGTCTTCCTCTGTTTGAGTTCTTGTCTTGTAATCTCCCCCTAAAATCAACAATCAGTGCCGAACTTGAACCCGATGTCTCGCCATAATATTTCTTGCGCACCTCCTCAGTCAAAATCAAATCACGATTATCATCATATTTCAGTTTGAATTTACCTGCAGAACTGTTAATTGTCATCCTCATGGCTTCCCAACTATTTGACAATAATGCCAATATTATCAACGCATGTATCTCATCATCAAAGTCAATTTCAACATACGACAATTGATTTATGATATTATTGAAATCATTCAGATGATGTGCAACAGATGTGCATTCCGTCATCTTTAAATTGAATAATTTCTTCTTCAGATGCACATTGTTATTCACTGATGACGTTTCATACATACCAGATAAAGCCGTCATGAGATCTGCAGTAGTACTCTTCTTAATGACGTTGTGGGTAATATACATCGACAGAGTTAATCAAATAACCCCCATAACTTGTCAATCAACCAAATTTCATTTTGCCTCGTCCATCTTTTCTGACCTCTTTCCCAATAATGGAAGATGAAGTTTCTGTTAGTGTAGAGCCCAGTACGATCGCTTCTCGCTCCCGCCTCCATGCGCCGACCATGAAACTCCTACTCTTCTATTGTGAATGGTCACGACATCTCCCGCGACCCTTGCTGTTACGCGAACCGCTCCCGCCTCCGCTCGTGTCTCCCACCTCCATTCGTGTCTCCCGCCTTTCCTTAGTCCGAAAGCATCGCTTCTCCTCCTTTTATCGTGAAAAGGAGCGGCCTCCTGTAGTTTATAAGTTACGTTTTGAGTTCTTCTTCGGGCTTCCTCGGGATTAGGAGTGTAAACGAACCAAACACAAACAAACAGAGCTTGTGTTCGTGTTTTGTTCGTTTGAAATTTAGTTTGTTTGAAATAAGTTCGTGTTTGAAATTGTTCGTCAAATCACTGTTCGTGTTCGTTTCTTAATTAACGATTCGAACACGAGCTGTTCTCGAACGATAAGCCAATTTGACTTCCCTAATATTAATATATATAAAAAACAGATGTGCATTCCGTCATCTTTAAATTGAATAACTTCTTCATCAGATGCACATTGTTATTCACTGATGACGTTTCATACATACCAGATAAAGCCGTTATGAGATCTGCAGTAGTACTCTTCTTAATGACGTTGTGGGTAATATACATCGACAGAGTTAATCAAATAACCCCCATAACTTGTCAATCAACCAAATTTCATTTTGTCTCGTCCATCTTTTCTGATCTCTTTCCCAATAATGGAAGATGAAGTTTCTGTTAGTGTAGAGCCCGGTACGATCGCTTCTCGCTCCCGCCTCCATGCGCCGACCATGAAACTCCTACTCTTCTATTGTGAATGGTCACGACATCTCCCGCGACCCTTGCTGTTACGCGAACCGCTCCCGCCTCCGCTCGTGTCTCCCCCCTCCATTC